CATTTAAAATCTCCCAATCTGTCGATTCCAGCCTCTGAAAAATCTGAAGTAGTGATGCTGAGATAACGTGTGGTTGGTCCAACACAGTGGAGCGTGAGGGGAAACAGGGCTGAGAGATATTTAATCTTAAAAATGGAGTCCTTTGCTCATTTCCCTGAAATAGGAGAACTGGGTTAAAGCAAAAGGGATGAGGCAGAGTTCTAGATCGCTAATCCTTCACGTACTGGCTGCTACAGCCCAGGAAGCTTGGCAATGGTTCCTGTCACATACCCCAGTATACACGGCTTGGTAAAAGTACGTCTTAGTAAAACTGTCCAATTTACTGAAAAAATTTCTCACCCGTAATCCTTTCCAGAAGGATTTAACCGATTTCTCACAGATAAATCCTCCACCCTACAGAAATGGGCTTGTTCTTAAGTCAGCAGATTCTCAGAAAAGTGGCCTGTGGTGGGGCAGAGTGCAACCCAGCCCAAAGCGCTGGACTCGCAGGAGCGTCGCTGCAAACTCGCAGTGACAGTGACGGCTGCTTCCCTTGGCTTCCTCTGCTGCTGCTGTCATTGGTTCTTCAGTAGCTGCCACTGCAGTTCCTTCCATTACACTTACAGATGCTTCTCCGGTCCCCAGAATTCCTTAGTCACAGCTCTTGATATAAACGGCTTTGGGCCAGGCACGGTGGCTCAAGCCTGTAATCCTAGCACGTCGGGAGGCCGAGGCGGGTGGATCACCCGAGGTCAGTAGTTCGAGACCAATCTGACCAACGTTGGAGAAACCCCGGTCTCTACTAAAAACACAAAATTCGCCAGGCGTGGTGGCACATGCCTATAATCCCAGCTACTTGGGAAGCTGAGGAAGGAGAATCGTTTGAACTCCGCAGGTGGAGGTTGCGGTGAGCCGAGATCGTGCCATTGCACTCCAGCCTGGGCAACAAGAGAGAAACCGTCTCAAAAAATAACAATAAAAACAAAAATTCAAACAAATGGCTTTGAAAGCCACTGACTACGCTCTTGGTGTCTACTCAGTGCCCAGAGAAATAGACTCTGGGAGAAAATCCCTCCTGTAGCCCCTGAGAGCTAATTCTGGGGAGTGACTCCAACTAGGAAGAGTCGCAACCAAAGTGGAAAAGAGAGATCATAGCTTTCATCATCTGCAAGATGGTGCAGTTTATTTAATAGAAAAATAATATGCTGCCATAAATTTTTTTTTTCATTTTTTAAAAGATAACAGGAAAGTCAGAGAGCATAGGCAAGTGTTACCAGTGTCAGAGTTACTTCTTGAAGCTAGAACAGGTGGTTTTCACCTGTGTGCCTATTTGGTGGCTTGTGTCAGTATTAACCATCAACATGGATGTGTCCATATTATAAGTGACCAAGTCCAAACAAAAACTAACAAAAATTTGAAATATTTGTAAATATTCGTGAAGTAGAAAAGGTCATACCAGCTCTTTATTAATCCGGGTTTAGGGGTTTTGATTTACTTATTTGTTTGTTTGAGACAGAGTCTTGCTCTGTTGCCCAGGCTGAAGTGCAGTGGCATGGTCTTAGTTGACTGCAACCTCTGCCCACCCAGGTTCAAAAGATTCTCCTGCCTCAGCCTCCAGAGCAGCTGGGATTACAGGTGAGTGCTACCACGCCTGGCTAATTTTTATATTTTTAGTACAGATGGAGTTTCTTCATGTTGGCCAGGCTGCTCTGCAACTCCTAACTTCAGGAAATCTGCCAGCCTCAGCCTCCCGAAGTGCTGGGATTACAGGCGTGAGCCACCACACCCAGCCCCAGAATATTATGGGATAACCTTACTTCAGGGTCTTACTACCCAAAAATGTGACTAGATTTTTAAGAAATCATGTATTTTAGGTTGGCTGCAGTGGCTCATGCCTGTAATCCCAGCACTTTGGGAGACCGAGGCGGGCAGGTCACTTCAGGAAAGGAGTTCAAGGCCAGCCTAGGCAGCAGAGTGAAACCCCATCTCTACTAATATATATATATATATATATATATATATATATATATATGAAGTTGAGCGGGGCATGGTGGCTCCTACCTGTAATCCCAGCTACTCGGGAGGCTGAGACAAGAGAATCCCTTGAACCGGGGAGGCAGAGGTTGCAGTGAGCCAAGATCATGCCACTGCACTCCAGCCTGGGCAACAGAGCAAGACTAGTCTCAAAAAAAAAAAAAAAAAAAAAAAAAAAAAAAAAAAAATTCCCTGGCAATCAACTCATTTTTAATTTTCATTTTGTGGTATAACCATTCCCCTTCAAGTTAGGGTTTGTAACACAAATAACTGCCTCAGATGGAAGTACCCAGGCCAGATTCTCAAGTCTTAGGCTGAATTAGTACATGAAAAAGGCATGCAGTAGTAGAATTCTATAATTAAGCAACAGCTGCAGAATATCATTGCATCCAGTACTAGAAACAAGAGAGGGGAAATTCTCAGCAACTGAAAGCATGCCACAATCCAAAGCCTTTCTTTAAAATATAGAACAAACCATATTTAAAAGTGTTTTCAATCACAATCTCTCACTGAATTGCTTCATTATCTAACAACTTCATCATAAAATTTGTGTGGTTCTACCATGTAACCAAGAGGTGAGGTAAAAGGCTTTGAATTTTTTAAAGATACAAAACATGCAAAAATATGTAATTAATTTCAGTCAACAATACTTCAGTATTTTCCATCTCTCAGGAAGCTGAGTTCAGTAATTAAAATACCTTTTCAATATATATATTTTTTGAGACAGAGTCCCACCTGTCTCCCAGGATGGAGTGCAGCGGCACAATCTTGGCTCACTGCAAACTTCACCTCTCAGATTCCAGTGGATTCTCAAACCTCAGCCTCCTGAGTAGCTGGGATTACAAGTGTGCACCACCACACCCTGCTAATTTTGTATTTTTAGTAGAGATGAGGTCTCATCACATTGGTCAGACTGGTCTCAAACTCCTAACCTCATGACCCACCCACCTCGGCCTCCCAAAATGTGGGAATTATCGGAGTGAGCCACGGAGCCAGGCCTCAATATCTTTTCAATATTAAACTGTAAAGCAATTATGAAAACATTACTAATTATACTTGTGCCTCGACTTTATAAAATTCCAGTTGTCCACATATGACCATTTTTAAAATCACTTACCATAAGAAAACAAAACAAAAAAAAAGAGAGCAGAAAAAAACATGGTTTCAAGTTTGATTTTGCTCAAGGTAAACATTTAAGTATTATGTATATTTGTATTTATAGTATCAAGATTCAGAATATAATCATACAGTATAAATGGAGAACTTCAGATTCATTTTAGAAAAAAACTATTGATATGCCATAGTCTTATATCACTTTAATAAACCATAGATAATATAAGTATAGGTAATAAACTTATTACTTCAAAACAAACCGCAAAATGTACTGGCTCAATTTGCAACCCCAAAAGGAAAATTAAAAGAATTCAGAGTTTTTTTCTGCCTTTTAGAAAAGACGGAAATAAAGATGATGAGTTAAACTATTAAACCGTAATGCCTTATATCACATCCAAGTATTTAAATCAGTTAACTTTCAAGCTGTTGGTTTTTAAAAAAGACCTTCAAAGCCACCAGTGGTATTGTTGAAAAAGTGAATGTTATACACTGAAACTAATCATTATAACAAATCTTCAATTTATTTGAAGCAATTCAGTTTCAAAAACTTTAAGTTACAGCAGTCACAGAAAAAAAACAGGAACAGTCAGAAACAATAAAAGAATAATCAGGAGTACTGCAAATTTTTTTGTTTGTTTTAACACTGTCATGGCTTTATTCAAAACACAGTTGCACAAAAGTATTAACTTCAAAGTTTTAAAGGAGATTCTTGAGGAACTTAACACACTATATACATACTGCCATACAAAGAGCATTAAAATAGGACCGAAAACTTCTACAAAATATAAAACCCACCCTTACTTATTTGCATGAAAATACCACCCACAAAGCTAAGTAAGTCTTAAAAGTTACCTGGAGGCTCTAAGTGTTGTTTTCAAACCAAAGTACTCTAATTTTGATTGCACAGTAAGATGATTGATAAGAAAGTCAATATATAGATTTTATTTTAAAAATAAGTATTTTTGTAATCTGGCATAATATGTAATGAGAATTGTTAGAAACTAAAACAGGGCATTTCAATTTTTAAAAGCAGAAGAAAAATGTTAGTCTTTTGGAGATTCCGATCCCCTCACTACACTTATTCCAAGTGTTTTATTTCAGTCAGTTTTGCAGTTTTTTTAGTTTCTCCACAAGTAACATCATAATTTTTACGTTTAAACAAGTCACACATTTTACATTGTAGAAGCAGTAGCAGCAGTACTATACTCAGTATTTAAACGTGTCCCAGGTACAGAAGCATAACCTCAATCAATCTGCCGACACTAACTTTTTAAAAACTTACAAATACTCAAAACAAAGGGAAAAAAATTTAGATTGCCAGGTTTAAAAAGCCATTGCCTTGAACATTGAGCCGCCATAGCAAAAGGGGAGATATATTTGTCTATTCATTATATTTTATTTAGTAGCCATGTAAGGAAACAAACACTCACATCCCAAATATGTTTCTACTTTTTTTTTTTTTTTTTTTTTTTTTTTGAGACGGAGTTTCGCTCTTGTTACCCAGGCTGGAATGCAATGGCGCGATCTCGGCTCACCGCAACCTCCGCCTCCTGGGCTCAGGCAATTCTCCTGCCTCAGCCTCCTAAGTAGCTGGGATTACAGGCACGCGCCACCACGCCCAGCTAGTTTTTGTATTTTTAGTAGAGACGGGGTTTCACCATGTTGACCAGGATGGTCTCGATCTCTCGATCTCGTGATCCACCCGCCTCGGCCTCCCAAAGTGCTGGGATTACAGGCTTGAGCCACCGCGCCCGGCGTTTCTACTTTTAATGGACATACACTTGAAAACAAATCTTAATTTTAATGTCAATTTAGTTTTAAATATTTTTCAACTGCCTAGTATATTCCAATTAAATGCTATTATCTGGTAATGCTTTAAAACTGTAGGAATTAAAGGTTCTACTCAGAAAAATTAGGAATACTTTGCAGAGTAGTATCCAAAACATTTCAGAAGCCAACTTTAAAATTTGACTTTAATGTTCAACAGGCAATTGTTCTGACTTTTGAGGAACACTAATACTGCTTCCAAAACCACCCCCTGCTTTTCTTTCTTCATCCTACTAATATAACCTTAGATGTTGTCAACCAAGAAACATTTATGGTAAGCAGAGCTTACCGCATAAAACTGTATTGATAATATATTCTTAGGTCAGAAAATAGTCAACTTCTTTCACTTCACTTATTTAAAACCCAGACAGGACAGAAAGGTAGTTGAGGTATAAGACTAAAGGTTTTCCTGGGTATTCACAAGTTTCCCAACTTTCTTTTGAGAGAGCAGGAAGGAAACGAAACAAGAAGGGAAGGTGATCATAAAGAAATTGCTAAGAAGAAAAAGAATGCACACCTAAAACAAAACAAAATAAACCACCATTGGCATGTCATGATTTGCAGCCTGATGAAAGGGCTCACCTGCATGTCTCTGGACTTCGTATAAGCGATTTTTTCCTTCAAAAATAAAATCAGTCCTTCAAAGATGAAATTATCAGTCACCACTAAATCCATGAACTATGTTACTGAACAGAACCTCCACAAAATCTGTGAACTATGTTGCTGAATACAACCTCTACTATTCTGCTTCTACTTTCCAAGTTACTTGCGACAAAAAAGCAACCAAACACTCTTACTCAAAAAAAAAGGTAACTGCCTTCAAACTAAAGATCCCTGGATCACCTCTAAAAAAATAACCAACTTACCACTCAAGAGACTATTGTCATTTCATATTACAGCAAACTGTAATTTCAGTTAATTTATAAATAAGGAATGAAATGCATCAAACTACACCTGTGTAAAAGTGATGTTTTAATTATGAGCTAAAAATGCCTAATACAGTAAGCTTGAATTTTAAAAATTAAGAGTCTAAATAAATTGCTAGGGAATTCCACAATGGTAGTTAGTGAAAATTTTTTCTCTACATACAATATGATCATTAACAGACTAGTTCTTATTTGGAATGATAAGGCAAAAATAGTAAAACCACACTTTTCCTATAAAAAGTTACACATTATCTTCTGTAGGGATAGCTATCGTACATGAAGAAACAAAGACGTGATCACTCCATTGCACACCCAGAAACGTTAGAGAATCTGGTCTTAGAATGATCTAGTCGTCTTCTTCCTCTCCATCATCTTCAGCATCTCGTTTCCTCTTCTCCCCTCGAAGACTTTCTTCTTCTGAAACAGTGGAAGGAAAAATGTAAAAGGCTTCATTCTAACAAATGAGCATTGGTTCCATTACAAAGTTTTGAATCTTAGTGAAAAGTTAATGGCGGGGCCTAGCGCGGTGGCTCACACCTGTAATCCCAGCACTTTGAGAGGCCAGGCAGGCGGATGGATCACTTCAGCCCTGGCTAAAAAGGTGAAACCCCACCTCTACTAAAAATACAAAAACTTAGCTGGGTGTGGTGGTAGGCGCCTGTAATCCCAGGTAGGTGCCTGTAATTACTCGAGAGGCTCAGGCGGGAGAATTACATGAACTCAGGAAGCGGTCGGCAGAGGTTGCAGTGAGCCAAGATCACGCCACTGCACTCCAGCCTGAGAAACAGAGCAAAACTTTGTCTCAAAAAAAAAAAAAAAAAAAAAAAAAAAAAAAGGTTAATGGCAGAAGAAAATTGGCCAGGCGCAGTGGCTCACGCCTGTAATCCCAGCACTTTGGGAGGCCAAAACGGGCAGATCACTTGAGGTCAGGAGTTGGGAGACCAGGCCGGCCAACAGGATGAAACCCCCCATCTCTACTAAAAATACAAAAATTAGTGGGACGTGGTGGCAGGCGCCAGCAGTCCCTACTACTTGAGAGGCTGGGGCAGGAGAATCGCTTGAACCCGGGAGGTGGAGGTTGCAGTGAGCCAAGATTGTGCCACTGCACTCCAGTATGGGTGACAGAAAGAGACTGTCTCAAAAGAGAGAGGGAGGATAGGAAGAAGGGACCAACGGAGGAAGGAAGGAACTTATACTTCCAGTTTCCTCTCTGAATTTTTTAAAATTTGAGTAGGTTGAAAACAGACTTGGAAATCCATAAATAATTACAGTTTGCTATGCACCCTTGTGGCCATATCATGAAGTACAGATTAAGAAACTAGGGGCTTGACATCAACGCAATTGTTAGTAAACTTTAAAAATTATTTTGAGGCTCAGCGGGGCACAGTGGCTCATGCCTGTAATCCCAACACTGGGAGGCCGAGGCGAGGAGATCACAAGGGCAGAAGATCAAGACCATCCTGGCTAACATAGTGAAACCCATCTCTACTAAAAATACAAAAAATTAACCCGACACCGTGGCATGCGCCTGTAATCCCAGCTACTCGTGAGGCTGAGGCAGGAGAATCGCTTGAACCCGGCAGGCCGAGGTTGCAGAGAGTGGGGATCATGGCACTACACTCCAACCTGGATGACACAGCGAGACTCCGTCTCAAAAAAAAAAAAAAAAAAATTATTTTGAGGCTGGGTGCAGTGGCTCACATCTATAATCTAAGCACTTTGGGAGGCCAAGGCAAGAGGATCAGTTGGGCCCAGGAGGTCAAGACCAGCCTGGGCAACAGCAAGACCCCGTCTATACAATAAATAAAAATATTAGCAAGGTGAAGTTGTGCACACCTGTAGTCTCAGCTACTTTGGAAGAGGCTGAGGTGGGAGGATAGCTTAAGCCTTAGAGGTCAAGCCGGGTGCGGTGGCTCAAGCCTGTAATCCCAGCACTTTGGGAGGCCGAGGAGGGTGGATCACGAGGTCAAGAGATCGAGACCAACCTGGTCAACATGGTGAAACCCCGTCTCTACTAAAAAAAAATACAAAGAATGAGCTGGGCATGGTGGCACGTGCCTGTAATCCCAGCTACTAGGGAGGCTGAGGCAGAAGAATTGCTTGAACACAGGAGGCGGAGGTTGCGGTGAGCCGAGATCGCGCCATTGCACTCCAGCCTGGGTAACAAGAGCGAAACTCCGTCTCAAAAAAAAAAAAAAAAAAGCCTTAGAGATCGAGGCTGCAGTGAGCACTGCACTCACTGCTGACAGAGACCCTGTCTCAAAACAGTAAAATAAAATAAAAATATTGGTTGGCCATGGTGGTTCACATCTATAATCTGAGCACTTTGGGAGCCCAGGGTGGACAGATCGCTTGAACCCAGAATTCAAGACAGCCTGGGCAATATGGAGAACTCCATCTGTGATGGTGTGTCCCTGTAGTCCCAGCTACTTGGGAGGCTGAGATGAAGGGGGATCACCTGAGCCCAAGGAGATTGAGGTTGCAGTAAGCCGTGCACTCCAGCCTGGGCAAAAGAGTGAAACCTATTTCAGATTTAAAAAAAAAAAAAAAAAAAAGGGCTGGGCGCGGTGGCTCAAGCTTGTAATCCCAGCACTTTGGGAGGCCGAGGCGGGTGGATCACAAGGTCAAGAGATCGAGACCATCCTGGTCAACAAGGTGAAACCCCCTCTCTACTAAAAACACAAAAAGTTAGCTGGGCATGGTGGCGCGTGCCTGTTAATCCCAGCTACTCAGGAGGCTGAGGCAGGAGAATTGCCTGAACCCAGGAGACGGAGGCTGCGATGAGCCGAGATCGCGCCATTGCACTCCAGCCTGGGTAACAAGAGCGAAACTCCGTCTCAAAAAAAAAAAGGCTGGGCACAGTGGCTCATGCTAGTAATCCCAGCACTTCGAAAGACTGAGGCAGGTGGATCTCTTGAGGCCAGGAGTTCAAGACCACCCTGGCCAACATGGCAAAACCCCATCTCTACTAAAAATACAAAAACAAACAAACAAACAAAAAATCAGCCAGGAATGGTGGCAGGCACCTATAATCCCCGCTACTTGGGAAGCTGAGGCAAGAGAATCACTTGAATCCAGGAGGTGAAGGTTGCAGTCAGTGGAGATTGTGCCACTGCGTTTCAAAAAATAATAATACATTTTTTTGAAAGGCCTAGAAAGCAAATCTAAAAAGGGCATTAATTATCCAGAGTTCAACTGCTCCTCTCTTACAAATAAGCTTTACTCTCTCCAAAATGAGGCTCTGTGAAAATAATAAATTGAGCTCAAGGTTCCATTCATCCCTTCATTTCTGTCTTTAAAATAAATGTTATAAGCTGTTTATTTTTAATGGAATTAATGAGTGCTCTAAGACAATTACTCTTAAAACAAAAAAACTTTTATAACTTTGAAGGTACTCTATGATAAAGCAAAATCAAAGGGATCAGTAAAAATCTACATTATACACTCATTCTTTAAAGTGTATGATAAATGAACTGTATGAAAAATAACTATGTCGGCCGGACGCGGTGGCTCAAGCCTGTAATCCCAGCACTTTGGGAGGCCGAGGCGGGTGGGTCACGAGGTCGAGAGATCGAGACCATCCTGGTCAACATGGTGAAACCCCGTCTCTGCTAAAAATACAAAAAAGTAGCTGGGCATGGTGGCGCGTGCCTGTAATCCCAGCTACTCAGGAGGCTGAGGCAGGAGAATTGCCTGAACCCGGGAGGCGGAGGTTGCGGTGAGCCGAGATCGCGCCATTGCACTCCAGCCTGGGTAACAAGAGCGAAACTCCGTCTCAAAAAAAAAAAAAAAAAAAAAGAAGAAAAATAACTATGTCCTTAATTTTAGAATTTGTTTATGGCTAATGTAACTCACCTTCTTCTTCCTCTTCTTCTCCTTCTTCAACATAGTCATCATCATCTTCTTCATCCTTGAAATTCAAATATTCAGTTTGAGAATTAAAAAATATAACAGATTTTTCACTCTTGTAATATAGTCCAGTAAGAGCAAATAAACTATGGTTATTCTGTGTTTTGACAACCTCTGCCATTCTTTTTCTTTTTCTTTTTCTTTTTTTTTTAATTTTTAAAAAAATATATACATGGGGTTTCACCATGATGGCCAGGTTGGTCTTGACTCCTGACCTCAGGTGATCCACCCACCTGGGCCTCCCAAAGTACTAGGATTACAGGCGTGAGCCACCACGCCCGGCCAACCTCTGCCATTCTTATAAAGGTCTTTTTAAAAACCTAACTGAATCTCCAGGTTTTTTTCTTTTTTTCTTCTTTTAGTGTCTTTCAAGTATAGCTTTTTCCCCTAGGCCTTTTTTTTTTTGAGACGGAGTCTCACTGCTGTCACCCAAGCTGGAGTATCGTGTCATGATCTGGGCTCACCCACTGCAGTCCTGCAGCCTCTGCCTCCCAGGTTCTAGCAATTCTCCTGCCTCAGCCTCCTAAGTACCTGGGATTACAGGTGTGAGCCACCACACCTGGCTAATTTTTGTATTTTTAGTAGAGACAGGGCTTCACCATGTCGGCCAGGCTGGTCTTGAACACCTTATCTCAGGTGATCTGCCTGCCTTGACTCCCAAAGTGCTAGGATTACAGGCATGAGCCACCATGCTGGGCCAAGTCTTTTTGTTTGTTTGTTTAATTTTTATGAGTAGATAGTAGGTATATGTATTTACGGGGTATGAGATCTTTTGATACGGGCACAAAAGGTATAGTAATCACATCAGTATAAATGGGGAACCCAGCATTTCTTGTATCTCCAGTTTCTTTTTTTTTTTTTTTTTTTTTTGAGACGGAGTTTTGCTCGTTACCCAGGCTGGAGTGCAATGGTGCAATCTCGGCTCACTGCAACCTCCGCCTCCCGGGTTCAGGCAATTCTCCTGCCTCAGCCTCCTGAGTAGCTGGGATTACAGGCACGTGCCACCATGCCCAGCTAATTTTTTGTATTTTTAGTAGAGACGGGGTTTCACCATGTTGACCAGGATGGTCTCGATCTCTTGACCTCGTGATCCACCCGCCTCGGCCTCCCAAAGTGCTGGGATTACAGGCGTGAGCCACCGCGCCCGGCCCATCTCCAGTTTCTTTATGAAAATAAGTTATGCTTTAAACTAGCATTCTTCAAAAGAACTTTCTCCAGCAAAGGAAACGTTTTATATATCTGTGTTGTATAATACAGTAGCAATAGCCACACTTAGCTACTGAGCATTTGAAATGTAACCAATGCAAATGAGAAACTGAAATTTTTATTTTATTTAATGTTAATCAATTTTGAATAGCCACATATGTCTACTAGCCACCATAATGGACAGAGCAACTTTTGACTATTTTAAAAACAGGATCTTCTATTTTACAGACCAAAGTAGTAATAATCTGAATCCCAGACTCAATTTAGTTATAAACATTTAGTATTAACTTTATCTATGTATGTGTTGAACAAGTCTCTATCTCTCTGGACCTCAGTTTTCCAATCAATAAAAGTATTCATCTAGAAAGACTGATAATAAATTCCTTACACATCTAAAAGTCTACACAGCAAAATAGCAAATGTCAATTACAAATCATGATAAACCTTGATCTGCAACTCTTGTGAAACATACTGTTCTAGATAGCTAAGATTTATTTTATTTATTTTATTTTTTTTTTGAGACGGAGTTTCGCTCTTGTTACCCAGGCTGGAGTGCAATGGCGCGATCTCGGCTCACCGCAACCTCCGCCTCCTGGGTTCAGGCAATTCTCCTGCCTCAGCCTCCTGAGTAGCTGGGATTACAGGCACGTGCCACCATGCCCAGCTAATTTTTTGTAGTTTTAGTAGAGACGGGGTTTCACCATGTTGACCAGGATGGTCTCGATCTCTCGACCACCTGATCCACCCGCCTCGGCCTCCCAAAGTGCTGGGATTACAGGCTTGAGCCACCGCGCCCCGCCGATAGCTAAGATTTAAACATTGCCTTGAAGCATCATAAGCACTTTTTTTAAACTCTTGCCAGTTGGAATATACATCTCTAAAGTGCACTGTATACACGTCTACCATTTTATGCTGAACCTTTTTCTTGAATAATCATGGTCCTCACTTTGATCATGAACATTATAACAATTTATATATGCTGATTCCCTCAGAGCATATTCATATATGCAGGATGGTTTTATTCTTTTGAAAAAGACTATGGCCTCCATTTTCAGTTGTTTCTTTTCCTAGTTTTTGCCTTCTCTTTTACTACCAGTTACTATTTCAATTATAGAATAAGAAAAAAGATCAACAAGCTTATCAGAGAATTGAATTTTTTTTTTTTTTTTTTTTTTTTGAGACAGTTTCGCTCTTGTTACCCAGGCTGGAGTGCAATGGCGCGATCTCGGCTCACCGCAACCTCCGCCTCCCAGGTTCAGGCAATTCTCCTGCCTCAGCCTCCTGAGTAGCTGGGATTACAGGCACGCTCCACCATGCCCAGCTAATTTTTTGTATTTTTAGTAGAGACGGGGTTTCACCATGTTGACCAGGATGGTCTCGATCTCTCGACCTCGTGATCCACCCGCCTCGGCCTCCCAAAGTGCTGGGATTACAGGCTTGAGCCACCGCGCCCGGCCAATTTTTTAAAAAAGGTTTAACTTGAACATTCTCCTACAAATAAGATATCTTGTTATTTATATTGGCAGCTCAGAGGCCTTTTATACTTACTGTCTTGTTCCTGGCTATGTTCCAAATGGCTGTATTCCAAACAGATGAAGTGCTACGTCTTTTAAAAAAATGAACCACTGAGCACAGTGGCTCACGCCTGTAATCCCATCACTTTGGGAGGCTGAGGCGGGTGGATCACCAGGTCAAGAGATCAAGACCATCCCAGCTGACATGGTGAAACCCCGTCTCTACTAAAAATACAAATAGTAGCTGGGCACGGTGGCATGCACCTGTAGTCCCAGCTACTCGAGAGGCTGAAGCATGAGAACTGCTTGAACTCGGGAGGTGGAGGTTGCAGTGAGCCGTGATAGTACCACTGCACTCCAGCCTGGCACCTGGTGACAAAGTGAGACTCTCTCTCTCTCAAAAAAAAAAAAAAACAACAACAGTGAACCAGCCAGGTGCAGTGGCTCATGCCTGTAAACCCAGCACTTTGGGAGGCTGAGACAGGCAGATCACCTGAGGTCAGGAGTTCGAGACCAGCCTGGCCAACATAGTGAAACCCCATCTCTACTAAAAATACAAAAATTAGCCAGATATGGTAGTGGGTAACTCCCATCTCATTTGAAAAGAAATCCTGTAATTCCAGCCACTCAGGAGGCTGAGACAGAAGAATTGCTTGAACCCAGGAGGCAGAGGTTGCAGTGAAGCCAAGATTACGCCACTGCACTGCAGCCTGAGTGACCAAGTGAGACTCTATCTCAAAAAAAAAAATAAACCAATCTAGGTCTGCTTTCCAATGCCACAAAAGTTTACTGGTCTTCAAAACGGCTCTAACAATCGAAAAATGCCAAGAACCAATGTAGTTAGAAAAAACTTAGACAAATCTCTTTTTTCACGGTATTCACCCCCCTTTATGTCTAGAAATATTAAACAGAATCTATTTTTCCAACATTTAGCTAGAAGTCCATGAGAAACTAAACTGCATGATTATTTTTTTAATGGGGAGTCTCACTGTCACTCCCACCTCCACTTTTAATTAAAAACACTATACATGCATAAAGTCCTTCTCTATACATATTAAACCCTTGCATCTGAAGAACAGCTGAAATAGGAAGAAATAAGAAGACTCGGCTGGGTGTGGAGGCTCATACATTTAATCCCAACACTTTGGGAAATCGAGATGGGAGGCCAAAGTTGAAGACCAGTCTGGTCAACATAGCGAGACTCCCATCTCATTTGAAAAAGAAAAAAAATTTTTTTTTTTTGAGATGGAGTTTCACTCTTGTTACCCAGGCTGGAGTGCAATGGCGCGATCTCGGCTCACCGCAACCTCCACTGCCTCCTGGGTTCAGGCAATTCTCCTGCCTCAGTCTCCTGAGTAGCTGGGATTACAGGCACGTGCCACCATGCCCAGCTAATTTTTTATATTTTTAGTAGAGACGGGGTTTCACCAAGTTGACCAGGATGGTCTCGACCTCTTGACCTTGTGATCCACCCGCCTCAGCCTCCCAAAGTGCTGGGATTACAGGCATGAGCCACCAGGTCTGGCCCCAACTCTTCTTCTTTATTTTAAAAGACAGGGTTTCACCATGTTGGCCAGGCTGGTCTTGAACTCCCAACCTCAGGTGATCTGCCCGCCTTGGCCTCCAAAGTGCTTCGATTACAGGCATGAGCCACCACGTCCGGCCTCATCTCTTCTTTTTTTAATAAACAAATTCAGCAACAAAAGCCACATTCAATCTTCCCCTTGCCCCCACTTTTTTTTCTTCTTCAGTATAGTCTGCAGTTTTTCCTGATTTTCATTGTGGTCCTTTTTATGCTCTTTGTTATCTCATCTGTTCCTTTTGCTCCTTATAGCTTACTGGTATTCGGGTATGGAGATGCTTTATAATGTTTCAACTGACAGTTACAAGAATGACTTCTGATACAAGAATTATGCAGTTGGCCGGGAGCAGTGGCTCATGTCTGTAATTCCAGCACTTTGGGAGGCTGAGGTGGGCAGATACCTCAGGTCGGGAGTTTAAGACCAGCTTGACCAACATTGAGAAACCCTGTCTCTACTAAACATACAAAATTAGCCAGGTGTGATGGCACATGCCTAGAATTTCAGCTACTTGGATGGCTGAGGCAGGAGAATTGCTTGAGCCCAGGAGGCAGGGGTTGCAGTGAGCAGAGATCGCACCACTACACTCCAGCCCAGGCGACAGTGCAAGACTCCGTCTCAAAAAAATAAAATAAAATAGGCCAGGTGGTGGCTCATGTCTGTAATCCGTGCACTTTGGGAGACCAAGGTAGGTAGATCACAAGGTCAAGAGATCGAGACCATCCTGGCCAACATGGTGAAACCCCATCTCTACTAAAAAAATACAAAAATTAGCTGGGAGTGGTGGCAAGCGCCTGTAGTTCCAGCGACTCGGGAGGCTCAGGCAAGAGAATCGCTTGAACCCAGGAGACGGAGACTGCAGTGAGCCAAAATTGTGCCACTGTACTCCAGCCTGGCGACAGAGCGAGATTCCATCTCAAAACTAAATAAATATTAAAAAATAAAAAAAGGATATTTAAATATTAATAATTTTTAAAACACTTGAAATATTAATCGCATTACTTGATAATTTAGAAAAGCCCCAGGTTAAAAAGCAAATTTCTCTAAATCTTGTTTTAAACAAAATATGATTAATTCATTCATGTTTTTGAGCCTCCTTTATTTAAAAAAATACACTAGATCATATCTCTCAATGTAAGCTCAGCTTTCACTAGACACTTGCTCAGTAGAGACTATAGTCTTCTTTTTATTAGTAGGAAATAAAATGTTGTCTCGTTTGTGCTATAAGTGGTATAAGGGAACCATAATTCCCAATCCTCCTAAAGCCTTCCGTTTCCTTTTGTTTTGTTGAGACAGAGTCTCACTCTGTTGCCCAGGCTGGAGTGCAGTGGTGCAATCTCAGCTCACTGCAACCTCTGCCTCCGGGTGCAAGCGATTGTCCTGCCTCAGCCTCCCAAGTAGCTGGCATTACAGGCATGAGCCACCATGCCTGGCTAATTTTTTGTATTTTTAGTAGAGATAGGGGTCTGGTCTCAGCACGTTGGCCAACCTGGTCTCAAACTCCTGACCTTAGGTGATCCACTCGCCTTGGCCACCCAAAGTGCTGCAATTACAGGTGTGAACGACTGTACCCAGCCTTTTTTTTTTTTTAAAGAGAGAGGGTCTCACTCTGTCACCCAGGCTAAAGTACAGTTGTAAGATTACAGCTTACTGTAGCCTCAACCTCACAGGCTGAAGCAGTCCTCACACCTCAGCCTCCTTAGTAGCTAGGACTACAGGCCCAAGCCACCACACCTGGCTCATTTTTGTATTTTTTATAGAGATGGGGTTTTGTCATGTTGCCCAGGCTGGTCTTGAATTCCTGGCCTCAATTAATCCTCCCACCTCAACCTCCCAGTGTTGGGATTACAGGCATAAGCCATTGTGCCTACACCCACCCTCACCTCCATTTTTAATGAACTACACTATACATATACACAAAGTTCTTCTCAGCTGGGCGCAGTGGCTCATGCCCTGAATCCCAGCACTCTGGGAAGCCAAGGCAAGCGATCACTTGAGGTCAGGAGTCTGAGACCAGACCCGGCAACATGATGAAGCCCCCATCTCTACAAAAAATAGAAAAATTAGGCCGGGCGCGGTAGCTCAAGCCTGTAATCCCAGCACTTTGGGAGGCCGAGGCGGGTGGATCACGAGGTCGAGAGATCGAGACCATCCTGGTCAACATGGTGAAACCCCGTCTCTACTAAAGAAAAATACAAAAAACTAGCTGGGCGTGGTGGTGCATGCCTGTAATCCCAGCTACTTAGGAGGCTGAGGCAGGAGAATTGCCTGAACCCAGGAGGCGGAGGTTGCGGTGAGCCGAGATCGCGCCATTGCACTCCAGCCTGGGTAACAAGAGCGAAACTCCGTCTCAAAAAAAAAAAAAAAAAAATAGAAAAATTAGGCCGGGCGCGGTGGCTCAAGCCTGTAATTCCAGCACTTTGGGAGGCCGAGGCGGGTGGATCACGAGGTCGAGAGATCGAGACCATCCTGGTCAACATGGTGAAACCCCGTCTCTTCTAAAAATACAAAACATTAGCTGGGCATGGTGGCGCGTGCCTGTAATCCCAGCTACTCAGGAGGCTGAGGCAGGAGAATTGCCTGAACCCGGGCGGCGGAGGTTGCGGTGAGCTGAGATCGCGCCATTGCACTCCAGCCTGGGTAACAAGAACGAAACTCCGTCCCCACAAAAAAAAAAAAAAAAAAAAAAAGAAAAATTAGCCAGGTGTGGTGGCACATGCATGGAGTCTCAGCTACTAAGGAGGCTGAGCTGTGAGGACTGTTTGAGTGCAGGAGGCAGAGGTTGGAGTGAGCCCAGATCATGCCACTGCACTCCAGCCTGGGCAACACAGCAAAATCTTGTCTCCAAAAAAAAAAAAAAAAAAAAGTCCTTTTTTATAAATATTAATCCTTTATCTCTGAAAAATAGCTGAAACAGGAAGAAGTAAAAAGACTCAAATAAAGAAATAGTTAATCGAATATACTTTTTTATTTCCTTCTAATGTCTTTCAAAATCTCAATAGTCTCTGAAGCTTCTCCTGTCACTTACCTTCTAAAACAAGACTTCTTTTCTTTTTTTTAAGAGACAAGATCTCGCTATGTTGGCCAGGTTAGTCTTGAACTCTTGGCCTCAAGCAATCCTCCCACCTCGACCACCCAAAGAGCTAGGATTATAGGCGTGAGCCACCATGCCCAGCCTTAAACAGGGCTTCATTTTAAACATCCAAATTATCTCATCATGAATCAAAATTACAGGTCCCTAACAGCCCTACAATGACTTAATGTTTTATATATATATATATATATATATATATATATATATATATATATATATAAAATACACATGTGTATATAATACATATTGATCTATATATGTGTATATGTATATATGTGTGTATATATACATTTTTATATATATATAAATACATATATAAATATATATATAATATATATGTAAAAATATATATATAATACATATTTTTATCTTAAGGTTTTTACTCTGTACTTCACCATGTCATTTTTTGGTTAATATTTTCCAGTACTCAATGGAATGATAAACCTGAACATCTGCAGTTAGTTGAAGGTCATTTTTTTTTTTTTTGAGATGGGGTTTCGCTCTTGTTACCCAAACTGGAGTGCAATAGCGCAGTCTCAGCTCACTGCAACCTCTACCTCCCGGGTTGAAGCAATTCTCCTGCCTCAGCTTCCTGAGTAGCTAAGATTACAGACATGCGCCACCATGTCTGGCTAATTTTTTTTTTTTTTTTTGAGATGGAATTTCACTCTTATTGCCCAGGCTGGAGTGCAACGGCGGGATCTTGGCTCACTGCAACCTCCACCTCCCAAGTTCAAGCGATTCTCCTACCTCAGTCTCCCAAGTAGCTGGGATTACAGGAATGTGCCACCACACCCGGCTAATTTTTTGTATTTTTAGTAGAGGTGGGGTTTGTCCACGTGGGTCAGGCTGGTCTCGAACTCCCAGCCTCAGGTGATCAGCCCGCCTCAGCCTCACAAAGTGATGGGATTACAGGTGTGGACCAGTGAACGCAGCTAATTTTTTGCATTTTTAGTAGAAACGGGGTTTCACCATGTTAGCCAGGCTGGTCTTCAACTCCTGACCTCAGGTGATCCACCTGCCTTGGGCTCCCAGCATGCTGGGATTACAGCTGTGAGCCACCAAGCCCATTTTAAAATTACTTAACACTAGGCCGGGCACAGTGGCTCATGCCTGTAATCCCAGCACTTTGGGAGGCCGAGGCGGGCAGACCACCTGAGGTCAGGAGTCTCAGACCAGCCTAACCAAGAAAGAGAAACCCCATCTCTATGAAAAATACAAAAATTAGCTGGGTGTGGTGGCATATGCCTGTAGTCCCAGCAACTAGGGAGCCTCGGAGGCAGAGGTTGCAGTGACTCAAGAATTGTACCAGTGCATTCCAGCTTGGACATCAGAGTGAGACTCTGTGGCAGGGAAAAAAAAAAAAAGGAGGAGGAGGAAACAAATGGTAGAAATGAAGGGCTCTGTATGTCTTGTGGGCAACAGAGAAACCTTCAAGGGTTTCAAGAAGGCTAGTGGATAATCACATTTGCCTTCGACTAACCAGACAGCACTGTGGAGAATACTCCGAAGTGGTGATGCTGTATTCAGAGAGACTATTTAGAAAGCTGCCACAAAAGTATACACAAGAGATAATTAGGAGAAAGAAACAAGTTTCTTGAGTGCCTGTAATGTGCCAGGGTCTACATTCTATACATAGATTATCTTGTGTTTTGTTTTGTTTTGTTTTGAGATGGAGTCTCACTCTGTCTCCAGGCTGAAGCGCAGTGGTGCAATAACGGCTCACTGCAACCTCCGCTTCCTGAGTTGAAGCAATTCTCCTGCCTCAGCCTCCCAAGTAGCTGGGGTTACAGGCAACCGACACCATGCCTGGCTAATTTTTTTTTTTTCTTTTTTCTTTTTAGTAGAGATGGGGTTTCACCATGTTGGCTAGGCTGGTCTCAATCTCCTGACCTGGTGATCCACACACCTCAGCCTCCCAAAGTGCTGGGATTACAGTCGTGAGCTGCCACGCCCTGCGATTATCTTGTTAAATCCTTAATGCTATGAGGTTGATATGACCTGGTTTTTTGTTTGTTTCTTTTTTGAGACAGTCTTGCTCTATTGCCCAGGCTCGAGTGCAGTGGCATGATCTCAACTCACTGCAATCTCCATCTCCTGGGTTCAAGTGATCCTCAGGCCTCAGCCTCCTGAGTAGCTGGGACTACAGGTGTGTGCCATCATGTCTGGCTAATTTTTGCATTTTTAGTAGATACCTGTTTCCCTACCCATGCTGGCCAGGCTGGTCTCAAACTCCTGACCTGTGTGAGCCACCACGCCTGGCCTAATCTGCTCTATAGATGCAGAAACTGAGGTTCACAGACATTTGTCAAATGGTTCCATCATACCATGCCACTGAGGCTGTAACGGATTTGAAAGTTATCTGGGAGGTAAAATCAATAGGTGTTTACGATCATCTGGATATGGTCTGGAATGGAGGACAATGAGAAAAAAGACAGGTGGGTAGACATTTGCACACTCACAACCTAGAAACAATTCTCAGATTGCTACAAAAGATACTTTATATAGTACTTAGCTCTATGCCTAGAAATTGATTTTCAGTGCACGTAAATAGGGTGTATTCACCTGAATTTCTTCTTTCATTAAGTATGAGAGACCCACTTCCTCTTCTCCCTCTCCCAACTCTGAACCTGCTTCATCTTCATCTTCATCCTCATCCTCATCCTCATCCTCCTCTTCCTCCTCCTCTTCCTCATAACCTTCAGGTGGACCAGCTTCATTTTCCTCTTCCTCTTCGTCATCTTCGTCTCCATCTTTAAAAAATATTTTAAAGATGAGTAAATGACTGGGCAAATGTTTCTTCCTCATATGTTGATGCTTTTTATCTTTGCCCAGTCACTTCAAACTCTTAAGCCAATAGGTGGAGAGTAAGTCAGAGCGATACTTTTTTTTTTTTTTTTAAGATTTCTGTTTACAACATTCCTAGTTATTCCTATAAACCACATGTGAGAAATATGGTTTCAAATACTGGTATCCAATATATATATACTCATCAAAACATTACATGCACTAAAGTCTGTTTTACTTCTGTTTTACACTTCAAAACTTGCTTGTGAGATTTTGGGAAGGCTGCAGAGAAAAGGGGGTGCTTACATACTGTTGGTCAGAATGAAATTAGTTCAGCCACTGTGAAAAGCAGGTTGGGAATTTCTCAAATAACTAAAAATACAACTAGCATTTGACCCAGCAATCCCATTACTGGGTGTACACCCAAAGGAAAGTAAATCATTCCACCAAAAAAACACGTGCCCTGTATGTTCACCACAGCACTACTCACAATAGCAAAGACACAGAAATAACCGAGGTGCTCCTCAACGGTGGAATGGATAAAGAAAATGTAGAACATGGCCGGGCGCGGTGGCTCACGCCTGTAATCCCAGCACTTTGGGAGGCTGAGGCGGGTGGATCACGAGGTCAAGAGATCGAGACCATCCTGGTCAACATGGTGAAACCCCCGTCTCTACTAAAAATACAAAACATTAGCTGGGCATGGTGGCGCGTGCCTGTAATCCCAGCTACTCAGGAGGCTGAGGCAGGAGAATTGCCTGAGCCCAGGAGGCGGAGGTTGCGGTGAGCCGAGATCGCGCCATTGCACTCCGGCCTGGGTAACAAGAGCGAAACTCCGTCTCAAAAAAAAAAAGAAGAAAATGTAGAACATACACACCACGGAATACTACACAGCCATAAAGAAAGAATGAAATCATGTCCTTTGCAGCAATATAGATACAGCTGGGGGCCATTATCCTAAGTGAATTAATGCAGAAACAAAAAAACAAATACTGTATGTTCACACTTAGAAGCAGGAGTTAAACACTGGGGACACAGGGACATAAAGATGGGATCAGACATTGGAAACCTCAAGAGGGGAGGGAGGATGGCTGAAGAACTACTTATTAGGCACCACGTTCACTATTTGTGTGATAGGATCAGTAGAAGACCAAACCTCAGCATCATACAGTACACCCACAGAACAAATTTGCACATGTACCCCCTTAATCTAATCTTAAAATACACCTGCTTATCAATAACTTCATCATTTTATAACACTGTTCATCTATCAAATTTCTTTCTTCTTGTTTTTGAGACAGAGTCGCCCTCTGTCACCCAGCCTGGAGTGCAGTGGCATCAACTCAGCTCATTGCAACCTCCACCTCCCAGGTCCAAGTGATTCTCCTGCCTCAGCCTCCCAATTAGCTAGGACTACATGTGTGTGCCACCACGCCCAGCTAATTATTTGTATTTTTAGTAGAGACGGGGTTTCACCGTGTTTGCCAGGATGGTCTCGATCTCCTGACCTTGTGCTCCGCCTGTGTTGGCCTCTCAAAGTGCTAGGATTACAGGTGTGAGCCACCACTCCCAGCCAATCAAATTTCTTTCTTTTTTTTTTTTTTTTTGAGAGGGAGTTTCGCTCTTGTTACCCAGGCTGGAGTGCAATGGCGCGATCTCGGCTCACCGCAACCTCCGCCTCCTGGGTTCAGGCAATTATCCTGCCTCAGCCTCCTGAGTAGTTGGGATTACAGGCACGCGCCACCATGCCCAGCTGATTTTTTGCACTTTTAGTAGAGACGGGGTTTCACCATGTCGACCAGGATGGTCTCAATCTCTTGACCTCGTGATCCACCCGCCTCGGCCTCCCAAAGTGCTGGGATTACAGGCGTGAGCCACCGCGCCCGGCCAAATTTCTTTTTACAATAAAAAACTTTTCACTGGATAATTACAAGCAGTATTCCATTACAAACAGCTATTCTGTCATCTGATCTGTTAGTCACCCACTTAAATGTATACTCACAGTCTAATTCTAGAATATTTTTCATCACCTCAAAAAGAAATCCCATACCCATTGGCAGTCACCCTCCCATTTTCCTCTCCACCAGCACCAAGCAACCAATAATCTACTTTCTGTCTCTATAGATTTGCCTATTCTGAACCTTCTGCCTATTCTGAATCACATATAGATTTTTTTGTTTGTTTTGTTTTTGAGACGGAGTCTCGCTCTGTCACCCAGGCTAGAGTGCAGTGGCACGATCTCAGCTCACTGCAACCTCCACCTCCCGGGTTCAAGTAATTCTCCTGCCTCAGCCTCCCGTGAGCTTTCAGTATAAATGAAATCAAACTATGTCGCCTTTTGTGTCTCTCTTTTCACATAGCAGAACATCTTGAACGTTCATTCATGTAGCATGTATCAGTACTTCAGTACATCAGTAGCATGTATCAGTCATATTTATGGTGGAATAATACTGCACTGTATAAACCACACTTTTTTTTTTTTTTTTTTTTTTTTTTTTTTTGAGACAGAGTTTCACTCTTGTTACCCAGGCTGGAGTGCAATGGCACGATCTCGGCTCACGGCAACCTCCGCCTCCTGGGTTCAAGCAATTCTCCTGCCTCAGCCTCCTGAGTAGCTGGAATTACAGGCACGTGCCACCATGCCCAGCTAATTTTTTGTATTTTTAGTAGAGACGGGGTTTCATCATGTTGACCAGGATGGTCTCGATCTGTTGACCTCGTGATCCACCCGCCTCGGCCTCCCAAAGTGCTGGGATTACAGGCTTGAGCCACCGCGCCCGGCTAAACCACACTTTTTTAATCCATTCATCAGTTGATAGACACTTGGGTTGTTTCTGCTTTTTGGCTATTACAAGTGGTTCTTTTTTTTTAAAACATACTATTTAAGAGGTTGCCACTTTTACTGGGTGTACAACTTTCTACAGATATAAAATTTCACAGAGCTTCATGTTATAATAGTCATTAAATCCCTGAAACTATAGGAAATCTAAAAGAGGAAATATTGGCTAGAGCTATGAGTTAATTTTTTCTTGTCTTACTAATATCTTGTTGTGGGTTTTTTTTTCCCACACCTAAATTTCCAGGCCCAATCTAATTTGCACAGCTAGAGCAGACGCTACAATTATGACACAGTTATGAATATTAAAAATTATTACCCTCATCATCTTCCTCTTCAGAGTCTGGTGCTTCATTATCCTCCTGATCAAATCCATCTAAGTATGTGATTTGCTGCAGCAGTTCAAAAATACTTTCTCTATAATCTTCCAGGTTTGTGATCTCACAGTTAAACAGGTCAAGACTTTTCAAATTTTTAAGATTTTGCTGGAAAAGTAAAGTTAAAACTTACATTCAAGATTTAAAATACCATATAATTCTGGTGTTTTTTTTTTTTTTTTTTTTGAGATGGAGTCTAGCCCTGTCACCAGGCTGGAGTTCAGTGGCGCCATCTCAGCTCACTACAACCTCCAACTCCCGGATTCAAGCGATTCTCCTGCCTCAGCCTCCCAAGTAGCTGGGATTACAGGCACGCGCCACCACACCCAGCTACTTTTTACATTTTCAGTAGAGACGGGGTTTCACCGTGTTGGCCAGGATGGTGTCGATCTCCTGACCTCATGATCCACCCGCCTCGGCCTCCCAAAGTGCTAAGATTACGGGTGTGCGCCACCGTACCCAGCTGCATTCTTTCTTTTCAATTCATGATCCAGAAAATATATATTTGAAATTAAGAATGATTTTTGTATTTTTTAGAGTTTTATAATGAAGGGCTATTATTATCAAGCACAACCAGCTCACCTGGCTAATTTTTTTTTCTTTCTGTAGAGACAGGGTCTCACTACGTTGCCCAGGATGGTCTCAAACTGCTGGACTCAAGTGATCCTCCCACCTCTGCCTCCCAGAGTGCTGGGATTACAGACATAAACCACTGTGCCCAGCCTCCAATCTTTTTTAAAAATCAAAGCAATAAGTGTCACTTTTTCTTTTCCTTCCCTCATACCAAGAAAGAAGACGGTAAATAATAAAATAACTCAAAAAAAAATCAAGAAGGAAGGTAAAGGAATAAGAGGTTAAAAAAAAAAAATACAGGCCGGGCGCGGTGGCTCAAGCCTGTAATCCCAGCACTTTGGGAGGCCGAGGCGGGTGGATCACAAGGTCGAGAGATCGAGACCAACCTGGTCAACATGGTGAAACCCCGTCTCTACTAAAAATACTAAAAATTAGCTGGGCATGGTGGCGTGTGCCTGTAATCCCAGCTACTCAGGAGGCTGAGGCAGGAGAATTGCCTGAACCCAGGAGGCGGAGGTTGCAGTGAGCCGAGATCGTGCCATTGCACTCCAGCCTGGGTAACAAGAGCGAAACTCCGTCTCAAAAAAAAAAAAAAATACTGGAAATTTTAAAATCAGATAGTCAACTCCTTAAAGTTGATGGTTAAATTTTTCATTGATTTAAAAATTCGTCTGCATATTTTACTCTAAAGGAAAAGAAAGCAGTAACTGCCTAGATCGTAACATACAAAAAATTCAGAAGTTTCAAGAGTTAAATAGAAATTAGTAAGACACAAACAAATCTCAGAAAATTTAACCAAAAAAAAGCAAGTCCAGAGACAAAACCGTTCCACTTACCAGAGCTTCTACTGTACTGAGATCTTTTATTTTGTTTCCACTCAGATTGAGGTAGGTAAGATTTGGACATTTCTCTGCCAGGACTTCCAAGCCTCCAGAAATTATATTGTCACTAAGCTCCAACTATATATTCAACACAGGAAGAAAACAAAGAATAGTAAACGTAGTATATCAGAGTTGAGTTTTGTTTTGTTTTGTCTTGTTTTTTTTTTTTTTTTTTTTTTTTTTTTTGAGGCGGAGTTTCACTCTTGTTACCCAGGCTGGAGTGCAATGGCGCGATCTCGGCTCACCGCAACCTCCGCCTCCTGGGTTCAGGCAATTCTCCTGCCTCAGCCACCTGAGTAGCTGGGATTACAGGCACACGCCACCACGCCCAGCTAATTTTTTGTATTTTTTTAGTAGAGACGGGGTTTCACCATGTTGACCAGGATGGTCTCGATCTGTTGACCTCGTGATCCACCCGCCTCGGCCTCCCGAAGTGCTGGGATTACAGGCTTGAGCCACCGCGCCCGGCCCAAGTTTTGTCTTGTTTTTGAGGCAGAGTCTCACTCTGTCGCCCAGGCTGGAGTGCGGTGATGCAGCCTCTACTCACTGCAATCTCCACCTCCTGGGTTCAAGCAATTCTCATGCCTCAGCCTCCCGAGTAGCTGGAATTACAGCTCCCGCCACCAGGCCCAGCTAATTTTTGTATTTTTAGTAGAGACAGGGTTTCATCAAGTTGGCCAGGCTAGTCTTGAACTCCTGACCTCAAGTAATCCACCTGACTCGGCCTCCCAAAGTGCTGGGATTACAGGTGTGAGCCACCAAGCCTGGCATATCAAAGATTTTTAAAGTATATCAATTTAAAGAAAAAAAAAAAAAGTTATTCTCTCTGGCTTCAAGAAATGATCACTACAGATCATTAATTTCCAAATTCCTATCTACATCTGCCAAATAATGTATTCGAACATCTACATAATGGGCTCCTAATCCAGCCTAGATTCTAGTTGTACTACATTTGGATGTCATGATGTGAGAAAAATATTTAATTAAATTAAAATTCATGTTATAAGGCAATTCCGCCATTAGATTTAAATTTCTAGGCTGGGCAGAGTGGCTCACACTTGTAATCCCAGCACTGTCGCAGGCCAAGGCAAGAGAATCACTTGCGCCAAGGAGTTCAAGACCAGTCTGGACAACATGGTGAAACCCTGTCACTATAAAAAACGCAAATATTAGCCAGGTGTGGTGGCACATGCCTGTAGTCTCAACTACTCAGGAGGCTGAGGTGGGAGGATGCTTGAGGCTGAGAGGCAGAGGTTCCAGTGAGCTGAGATCACACCACAGCACTCCAGCCTGGGGAGCAGAGTAAGACCTGTCTCAAAAATAAATGAATAAATAAGGCCGGGCACAGTGGCTCGCACCTGTAATCCCAGTACTTTGGGATGCCAAAGTGGGCGGATCACAAGGTCAGGAGTTCAAGACCAGCCTGGCCAACATGGTGAAACCCCATCTCTACTAAAAATACAAAAATTAGCCGGGTGTGGTGGTGGGTGCCTGTAATCCGAGCTACCTGGGAGGCTGAAGCAGGAGAACTGCTTGAACTTGGGAAATGGAGGTTGCAGTGAGTCAAGATTACACCACTGCACACCAGTCTGGGTGACAGAGTGAGACTCCATCTCGAATAAATAAAGGAATGAATGAATGAACGAATGAAAGCAGTATGAGTTGATACCCAAAATCCTATATAACTTTTTCTTATCTCTAGTAACTTAAAAACTTCTAATTAGCAAACAGAATGGTCATTCAATTGGGCCAAACACTAGACATAATAGCCATGGCTTTCAAATCATGATGCTTCATGTAAACGCCAACTTACTTTTCGAAGTTTATTTAAGCTGGGAAGCCGGGCCAGTGAACTTAGTTCCACATTAGCCATACTCAGAAATTCTAGTTCTTTAAAAGTATCATTCAGGCCTTCAATTTCCCCATTGACACACAGGCAATTATCAAGGACCAACTCTGTCACCTGTAAGAGGGAACACATTGATTAATGATTCTTTTGTTTGTAATCTTTTTAGCTATAGACTTGGGTCTTGACACTCTGGAAATCACCAATCGCCAGTTTGATTGCCCATTAGTTAAAACAAAACAAAACAAAACCCCATCAATCCCCTTACACAGAGTCTTTTCATTTCCCCCCAAAACTAATATACAATCTTAAGTCATCACTATAAGTAATCTTTTAAATTTCTTTTTTTGGGTTTTTTTTTTTTTTTTTTTGAGACAGAGTCTCACACTGTCGCCCAGGCTGTAGTGCAATGGAGCGATTTCGGCTCACTGCAATCTCCACCTCCTGGGTTCAAGCGATTCTTCCTCAGCCTCCCAAGTAGCTGGGACTACAGGCGCGTGCCACCACGCCCAGCTAATTTTTTTTGCATTTTTAGTAGAGACGGGGTTTCACCATGTTGGCCAGGATGGTCTTGATCTTCTGACCTCGTGATCCACCTGCCTCTGCCTCCCAAAGTGCTGGGATTACAGGCATGAGCCACCGCGCCCGGCCATCTTTTAAATTTAAACTTGGACTAAAGTTCAAGACCTGCTTCAAATCACTGATGCATAAGAAACAAACTTTGAAGAAGTTCTCATGTGAAGCCTGTTCTGACCCTGACGAAGAGGACCCTCAACAACAGAGAATATATTTATGGAAGGAGGGGGCACCTAAGCTACCAGGAAAAGATTTAAGTGAGTTGCCCTAAAACCTACAAAGAGGGCCGGGTGCGATGGCTCACACCTGTAATCCCAGCACTTGAGGAGGTGGAGGCAGGTGGATCACTTGAGGTTAGGAGTTCAAGAAAAGGGCTGGCCCACATGGTGAAACCCCGTCTCTACTAAAAATACAAAAATCAGCTGGGCGTGATGGCGGGCACCTGTAATCCCAGGTATTCAGGAGGCTGAGGCAGGAGAATCGCTTGAACCCGGGCAGCAGAGGTTGCAGTAAGTCGAGGTCGCGCCACTGCACTCCAGCTTTGGCGACAGATCAAGACTGTATCTCACCAAAAAAAAAAAAAAAAAAGAAACTGTTTAATCACTTTTTTAGTTTAAACTCCCTTCTCTTTGGTTGATAAATGCCATCATAACTCAAAAAAAACCTCCTTACCCTTCATGAAGAAATGTTAGAAAGCTCCTCTGGGAACAGTCCAGAGGGTGTGATGTGTTCTCACGTCCTGGCCCAACAGTATCACCCAGAACAATACGTTCTTAACAAAATGTTACTTCTCCCTACCACTCGGGTGTAATAGCATTTCTGTGCACTTTTCCCCATCCCTGAGGAAGTGGCGCTGAATTCCCTATTAGGTAAGAGTTGTAGTAACAAACTTCCTGGTGGAGGCCTGAATGGACTTAATCTTTAACGGAAAGGCCGAAGATCGTAGTTCTCTATACCCAAGGCGAAAACTTGTTTGAGGTATCTGAGGGCTAAAATTTAGCAACAAGGAATGCCACCTTCGCTGTTAGAATGACGCTGACAAAATTATTTCTGTGGTCAGAGAGAGCATCTTGAGCTCCGTTTTGGAGAGGAGGAAACTATGGCCCAGAGGTCAAGAATGACTTGCCTAGGCTCACAGTTGGTTTGCGGCAGGTCTGAGGACTGGTTCAGTCTTCTGACTCCACTCCCTGTTTAGCCGAGGGGTGGGGGCTGCTCCATGTGGTGTCAGAAAACCAGTTCCTCCGCTTGTGTAAATCATTTCACCGCCCTGAGACTCCATCTGCTAATTTGGATTCTACAACACAATCTACCTTACAAGTAAGGAGGCAAGTAAATAAGAAACGGGAAACGTGCTTTGTAAACTGTCCATACAAATGTGAGAGACCGTTATTACAACAGAGCGGAAGAAGCTGAAAAAAGGCAACGTCCTGAACACCCCAAAACTGGCAAAGAAATCACTACAATCACTAAGTGAAAGAATCCTGGCGGGAGTGGGGGTGTCCAATTCTCCAACCACCCAAGCCACCCAACAGTATTCTCAACGTGTGCTTCTGAGAGACAGCTTTTAAAGTTTCTTTTCTTCCTGAAGCCTCTAACAAGAAGCTCTAGAAACAAGTTCTCTCCAGGATGACCCTGACAGTAAGCAACTGTATCCCCTCCCTGGCACCTGCCAATTTCAGGAAAACAGGGACCTAAAAATAAAATAAAATAAAAATTTTTTTAAAGTCTGAGTTCCCACTCCGCACGCCGGACGCGAAAGCTCAGACCTTGCTCATCTTCTCCACGGGGCTGCACAGACAGCACCCCAGTTCTATCCTATCGATCGGTCGGTCCAGCTCTAGACGACTCCCTCGTATTCCAATTCTAGAGCCGATTTCAGCCAGCCTGCTGCTTTCCTCCGCGAGCCGCCCCGCCGGCCACCCGCCCCGCTCTCGCGACCTGCCGCTCCGGCTGACGGGAAACCCCACACGGGGCGGAGACTCCCCAAGGGAAAAAGGGGTCGCCTCCCAGCTCGCGCTGCCCTCCCGCGCTCGCCCCGGGTAGCTGAGGCCCAGGAGGCAACCGCGAAAACGAGGCGGAAACGCCTCCCGCCCGACCCCAGAAAAGTTGACCGCGACCCCGCCTCGCGTGGCCCCTCCCAACCCCGTCTCTTTAACTAAGGCGACGGCGGCGAGAGCGCATCATTTTCGTTTCGCCGAACCCATCTTTAAAGCACGAAACGACCACGTCCCTTTAGGCTGAGTTTGGGGAAACCGTCTCCAGGGATCAATTTCAGAGTTGCGGCCACGCGACGTGCCAAATACCGTTGCATGGCGGGGGAAGAAGCGGACTGCGCCTCCCGTCCCCTCCCCACCTCCGGTCACTGCGACGAGTCCCCGAACTCGCCCGCGGTCGGAGAACCTGCCGCTGACCCAGATTCCGCCGGGCGGAGGGCGGCGGGCGGCGCGCGCGGCTTCCCCGAGGAGTGGGCGCCGCCGGAGCAGACCGCGCGCGGACCCCGCCGGCGCCCCCAGCCCGCCCCCGGCGCGGCGTCGGACGCCCGGGGCCTCGAGGCCGGCGGAGCCCACCCCCAAAAAAGATGAGTTGGCCGCACTGCAGAAAAGTTGGACCAACTTCTCAGGCGCCGAGGGCTGCGGCAGGGGCCGAGTGGGACTGGGGGTGCGCCCACGCCGCCGGCCCCCGGGAGGAGGGACGCCGGAGCCGAGCGGCGGAGCGCCCCCACCAGCCCGCTTCCCGCCCCCACGAGGCCCGGACGCCCGACTCGATGAAAGCCGAAAGGAGCTAAGCCCCCGTGCACACACAAAAACGCCCCTAGAAACTTCAACCCTTCGCCATTTTAAGTAGAAGATTTTAATGATTTAAAACTTAAAATTGGACATTTCCCCAACCCTAGCCCCGGGGGGTGGGGGCTCACTTACTCCTCCATCCCCGCACATCCACCGGGACCACCGGCAACCCGATCCTCCGAACACAGGACTGATGGGGAAGGGGTGGGGGCTGAGTCATCTCACCTCCTCCGGGGCTCTGTTCCTTAACTCCAGGTTAATCTTCTTCTTCATCTCCATGTCCTCCTCTTGCTCTTCGGCCACTACTCTCCTTCCTTTCCCTTTCCTGCCTTTCCCACCACCCCCAACCCACAATTTTTAAGATTCAGAAATGAATGAAAAGGAACGCAAATATAAACGCCCACTACCACCAGATAGGTGTGGGGGAGAAAGAAGAGAATAGCAAATGGAGTCCAAGAGTTGGGACTCTAACTCGGCTGCCCCCACCTCCTTGTCCACACACCAGCGCGCGCACACACACGCACGCACGCGCGCACACACAGACACACACACACACACATACACACAGCCCCGCAGTTCCTTCCCCTTCAATGGCTGCTCAGAGACTGAGCCTCCATGACACGGCACCGCCAACCCCCTGGCCTACACTCCACCCACCTCCCAAACGTATTGGTGGATTCTTCAGCGTCACATTATTTCATTGGGCGACGTGAACGTCTATCAGTCTTCAGGGCGGACCTGGGCCAGAAACTCCGTATCTATTGGCTACGATCAAGCGCGCAGTTAATTTCGATAGGTCCAGGAGGCTGTACGTCCCAGAGAAATGATTTTGAATCCCAGTAGCCCCCCTACTTTTCTTTATGTAGTTGGCGCGCTTTCCCTGGGCACTCGGACGGTTTTGTTGCCTGTTGGATTGGGTTTTTAGTTTTTTATTTCTTATTCTGTTGTTACCGTTAAAGAGGGAGAAGGCATCCTTCCGTGCCCAAGTTGCGATACTGATAATTCACCCACAGGGCACACACCGGCTCTGGGCTGTTTTAAAAGCACAGACTCCGCTTTGCAGCCAAGGTGTACAGCAACGTGCGCATCGCATTAAAAAGATGTCTTCGTGGCATTGTCCTGCTGGGGTCAGGCTTTTCACAGAGCCTGACCTTCCGTGATGCAGAGCCGGAGCCCAGATTTTAAAGATGGTAGTTTAACACCGTAAGAGACAACAATTTCGAAAGCAGCTGGGTGAAGTATGTAAGTTAATAATATTTAAATAAAACGATCCAGGAGGAATCGTTACTGAGCTAATTGTTGCTGTAATAAACACTAAGACCTGGGCGGAAAAAACAACCCCGGCCTAACGAAAACCAGACATTAATTAGCATAGAAATGGCACAGCAATGCCTCTCTAATTTCCCTTTGGTTGGTTTCCATGGAAATCTGTAGGTAAAGTATGCTTTTAAAAGTGTTTATCGCTTCTCTGCCTTTTGGCTGAGATCAAGTGTAGAATCTGTTCTTATCAGTTTACTATCTGATATATCTTCTCTCCGAGTCCAGTATATTACATAGGTTTTTGGAGCAGGAAGACGGAATAGGAGCTTGCTTGTCCACTTCATGCATGGACCTGGTACTACAGTACCTCCAGGAATGGTGCACCCCCTCAGGGGATTCAAATTTGGCGTTCAAGACACAAGAAGACGATAAAAAAGTCTCTGTGGGATGGGATATGAAAGATTAAGATAAGAATTATCTTTTGGCCGGGCGTGGTGGCTAACACCTGAATTCCCAGCATTTTGGCAGGCCGAGACGGATGGATCACCTGAGGACAGGAGTACGAGACCAGTCTGACTGACAAGGTAAAACCCCGTCTCTACTAAAAATACAAAACATTAGCCGGGCGTGTTGACGTGCACCTGTAATCCCAGCTACTCCAGAGGCTGAGGCAAGAGAATCGCTTGAGCCTGGGAGGCGGAGGTTGCGGTGAGCCAAGATCCAGCCATGGCACTCCAGCCTGGTCAACAAGAGCTAAACTCCATCTCAAATAAATAAATAAATAAAATGTAAACGCTTTAAAGGACAACAAAACGATGGTTGTCTCTACAATGTTTCCTTTGAATTCCCTGAAAAGGAAATTTTGTGAAGACAAAGAGAGGGGGAAAGGAGAGTTTTTGGTATCAAATGGCATCTCTGGCAGGACGCGATGGCTCAATCCCAGCACTTTGGGAAGCCCGGGCGGGCAGATCACTTGAGGCCAGGAGTTCGAGACCAGCCTGGCCAACATGGCAAAAACTTCATCTTTACTAAAAATACAAAAATTAGCCAGATGTGGTGGTGCACACCTCTAAGCCCAGCTACTCGGGAGGTTGAGGTACTAGAATCGCTTGAAACTAAGAGGCAGAGATTGCAGTGAGCCTGAGGGACAGAAGGAAACTGTCCCCCCCCCCCAAAAAAAAGCATATTTGGCGGGGGCATTGGAGATTTAATAAAGTTTTTTATTTGCTTTAATACAGACTAAAAAGCCAGGATGACATGAAAATGAAATCAACATGGATTAAGGGACAAACAGTTCAAGGAAGAGTTAAAAATGCAAAAGAAGCCGGGCGCGGTGGCTCAAGCCTGTAATCCCAGCACTTTGGGAGGCCGAGGCGGGTGGATCAGGTGGTCGAGAGATCGAGACCATCCCGGTCAACATAGTGAAACCCGTCTCTACTAAAAATACAAAAAACTAGCTGGGCATGGTGGCGCGTGCCTGTAATCCCAGCTACTCAGGAGGCTGAGGCAGGAGAATTGCCTGAGCCCAGGAGGCGGAGGTTGCGGTGAGCCGAGATCGCGCCATTGCACTCCAGCCTGGGTAACAAGAGCGAAACTCCGTCTCAAAAAAAAAAAAAAAAAAATGCAAAAGAAAGGCCAGGCGCGCTGGCTCACGCCTGTAATCCCAGCACTTTGGGAAGCCAAGGTGGGCGGATCAGGAGGTCAGGAGTTCAAGACCAGCCTGGCCAACATGGTGAAATCCTGTCTCTACTAAAAATACAAAAACTAGCTGTGCATGGTGCTGCGTACCTGTAATCCCAGCTACTCGAGAGGCTGAGGCAGGAGTATTGCTTGAACCAGGACTGGGGAAGTCCACGGAGGTTGCAGTGAGCTGAAATCTCGCCACTGCACTCCAGCCTGGGCTACAGAGCTAGACTGCATCTCAAAAAAAAAAAAAAAAAAAAAAAAAAAAAGGAAGAAAAAAAGCTAAAAAGAAAGCACATCTTAGTACCAGCCTGGGAATAAGTCCTGAGATTTTGTTTTGTTTTTTAATAGGGATGGGGTTTCACCATCTTGGCCAGGTTGGTCTTGAACTCCTGACCTCATGATCCACCCATCTTGGTCTCCCAAAGTGCTGGGATTACAGGTGTGAGCCACCGCGCCTGGCCTAAATCCTGAGTTCTAATCTCACCTGCCTCTACAGGGTCTGGAACAAAATCCAAAAGAGAGTTATGGGAAGAAGGTTCAGATTTAGGAGTCATGTGCATACAAGTGATGGTTAAAGCCATGAGACAAAAATAAAATGTCCATAGGGAATGTATAAAAGACTATCGGACAACTTTGGAGGCCAAGGCAGGCGGATCACCTGAGGTCAGGAGTTCAAGACCAGCCTGACCAACATGGTGAAACCCCTTCTTTAAAAAATAAAATTAAATTAAAAAATTTTAAAAAGACTCTCAGACAAAGGAGAGCAAAACATGGTTGAAGGGGAAACGAGAGGAGGGAGGGATTGTCTACCAAAGTCCTCAAGAAAACTGAGGAGTAGGTAAAGAAGGAAAAATATATGGAAGCCAAAGAAGAGACGGAAGAGATTATTACTGACATCAAATGGTAGGGTTTCAAGTAAGAGCGATGATTGGGGTTAAATTGTATCCTGGAAATAACCAGTGTGAAGAAAAGCCATGAACTGGTTTTACCATTGAATAGTGGCTGCAGAAAGTACACCGTAGTAGCATAGACAGAGATTTGCCCAAGTGGCCTTTGTCTCAACATCCATTATCTCTACCCTCACATCTCTCATCTTAATTATCTGAATACACTACCTTGAAGCTTATTGCTTTCCAGCATTAACCCGAAAGGCAGGATAAAGAAGGTGCTAGAGAAGGAGAGAGTCCCCATAGGTCTGGTGCCCAGAAAGAAAGGTGCCTGGAAAGGGATTGAATAAAGAATACTACCAGGCCAGTAGATGGGCATATGAAGCTAAAAGGAAGGGTAAAGAGTGAAATTTACAGCTACTCGGGAGGCTGAGGCAGGAAAATCGCTTGAACCTGGAAGGTGAGGTTGCACTGACCCAATATCACGCCACTGCACTCCAGCCTGGGCAACAGAGCAAGACTCCGTCTCAAAAAAAAAAAAAAAAAAAAAAAAAAGTGAAATTTAGTCAGGAGAAAAGCCAAAGCCAAACTCACGTACCAGATCAGATCACTCTTTAAGCTGATGTAATTCGGTAGGGTTTCAATGGCAAAATGAAGAGTGAGGTTAAGTAACCAAGTTAAGGAGGAACACGGTGGCTCACACCTATAATCTCAGCACTTTGGGAGGCTGAGGTGGGTGAATCACTTGAGGCCAGGAGTTTGAGACCAGCCTAGCCAACATGGCAAAACGCTGTCTCTACTGAAAATACAAAAATTAGCTGGGCATGATGGCACACATCTGTAATCCCAGCTACTTGGGCGGCTGAGGCGCAAGAATCACTTGAACCCAGGAGGTGGAGTTTGCAGTGAGCCAACATCACACCACTGCACTCCAGCCTGGGTGACAAAGCAAGACTCTGTCTCAAAAAAAAAGTAACCAAGTTAAGTAGAGCAACTGAGAGAGGGGTTCAGAAAAACTCCTTTAATCCACCGGTAAGAAAGCTGCCTTGGGATGGTATTAAATACAACATGCCTTTAACATTCAAAAACCAAGAGCTGGTCTACTGCTGCTGAATATCTTGTTTGCACTTCCAGATCTACCCTGCACCCTGCACCCTGCTCTGCAACCCAGAACCTATATGAATTGCGTGAGGTCCCATGGCTTCCTGGGCTTGTCCTGATAGGAAATCAAGTCAGGAGGAAAGTGAGGTTGGACACTGACTCTCGCAGCTTCCTCTCTGCCAGGTCCTTACAAAACAGCTGAGTCCCTCTACGGAAAGCCACAGATGGTTACAGAACTGTGGTGGGCACTCTGAAGTACCACCCAACTTTTTCTTCAGGATTGAAGAACTTATTCCCACAGCTGCTGCTCCCAGCTGCTGGAAGGGGACCCTACGCTGTCCTCCCTTGCAGGGGATTTCTTTGGCGCAAGATTACCTCACTCAAGGTTATGCCTCCTTCTGGGGAAGCCCATGGCCAATGAGTGATTAACAGAGAGGTGTAAAGGACCAGCCTGCCCTTTTCCCCAGATTTAGACAAATGCAGAACGGTCATCCCAGCTCCAGAGCACCCTGTCGTGGTGGTCGGTTGAGGTCTGAGTTATGACTGCATTGCCATTCAGCTTCTCCCTCTGCTTAATCCTGCTTCTTTCTCCTCCTGTCCACAGGTAATGGTCTAAATATCACCCAACAACAGCTCAGTCTGCTTCTTGAGGACATGGGACAGCGGCTGTCTCCAAATACCTACCCTCTGAGAAAGCCCAAACTAACCTAT